TCATTCCCACTAGCAGTGTACTAGGGTTCCCTTTTCTCCACATCCTCGCCAGCACTTTCATTTACTGACGGTAGCCATTCTGACAGGTGAGAGATGATACCTCAGTGATATTTAATTTGCATCTCTCTAATATTCAGTGGGTTTGAGCATTTTTTCATATGTCTCTTGGCCATCTGGTATGTCCTCTTTGGAGAAGTGTCTATTTAGGTCCTTTCCCATTTTTAAAATTAGATTGTTTGTCTTCCTTTTGTTAAGTTGTATGAGTTCCTTATATATTTTGGATATTAACCCTTTAGCAGATATATCATTGCCAAATATGTTCTCCCATACAGTGGGCTCTCTTTTCATTTTGTGGAAAGTTTCTGTTGCTGTGCAGAAGCCTTTTATTTTGATGTAATCCCATTTGTTTATTTGCCTTAGGAGATGTATCTGTAAATATACTGCTACAAGAGATGTCTAAGATTTTGCTGCCTATAGTTTCTTCTAAGATTTTTATGGTTTCACGACTTATATTTAAGCCTTTTGCCCATTTTGAGTTTATTCTTGTGTATGATGTAAGATGGTGGTCTAGTTTAATTTTTTTGCATGTTATCTGTCCAATTTTCTCAACACCATTTACTGAAGAGACTGTTGACTCCAATGTATGCTCTTGTCTCCTTTGTCAAATATTGAGCGTAATGGCTTGGGTCAATTTCTGGGTTCTCTGTTCTGTTCCATGTATATCTGTGCCTTTCACAGTCTGTTTTTCCCTACCTAACTGATGAAATGTTACCTGTCCTTCAAAAATCTAACTTAAATGCTACTTCTGGGATACTAATAGCTGCCCCCAAAAAACTACCTTTGCTTTTCTAAATTGAGATAGCACTCGGTACCAGTTGGTGGAGAAGGAACTAAACAAACAGGCCTGGTTTTGTTTCTAGTCCTACTTTATTAAAGATGTGATCTTGGGCAAGTGACTTCTTTGAACTTTAGTTTTCCTTGTAAAATGAAAGTAATTCCTATCTCTTAGAGTTATTGTAAAAATTAAGTGAGATAACATATACAAAATACTTAGTAGTGTCTTTTATATAAAAAAGGCTCAATAAATCCTATCTTTCCCCAACTGTCCTTATTCCTTACCACTCTCTTTCTGCCTCATCACAATTACCTGTATATGTGTCTTACTCATCTCCCTGCCAATTGACTTTTAGAAAAAAGGGAATTATGTTCTATGTATACCCCATAGCATCAAATTCAGCACCTTGTAAATAGTAATTAGGTAATGTATACTGTTATACTGAGGAAATAATGAATAAATCAACAAGCCGTTTTTGCTATATATTTCTTTTCCAGTTCTGAAGTTCTGAGCTAAAAATATAACTGGATCAAAAATATTAAATACAAATAAATATAAAGAATGTTAATGCAACAAATCTGTTCTTGAAATTAGAGATTGTTATGTGGTTTCAGAACCTGTTCTCTTACTCTTACCTGTTATTTCATCACTGTGGGTAGATAGCAGTTTCCAGATGAGGTAAGGACCACCAAGGATAACAGCAAAGAACAAGAATATCGGCCAAGATTTTGCTGAGTTAGCCGCTCTGTCATCAGCACCAAGGCAAGCCACAGTTCTTTCACTTTCTGCCCATAGGTCCTCATTCTCGGAGCCTCTTCTTAAACCTATCATCTGTTGTAACCGTCTATAAAGATACCTTATAGTCCTAACTAATGCAAAAGCTGAAAAAACCTTTGTGAAGTGTATTTTTAATCGGGAAAAATGATTCGCTACATCCAATACAGCCCTAAAACTGTTATACACAGCTGAAAAGGTAGCATCCATCATCATACTGACAGAGGCAAATGCATGTACAATACTTTCGATGGACTGAAATGCACCTCTGCTGCTTTCTTCAGCTTGCTGAACAAATCTACTAGGCGGAAGATCATCTACACGGAGGCGGTTATAGTTTAACCCATTATATCCATAACTATAAGGGCTATAGCTTCCATAAAACGAATTTCCATAGGCACCATATCCTGAAGAAAATGAGCTGTAAGCAGGTCTGAAAGTGTTCACACTGCTACTTCCTGTCTGGTGTGATGGCCTTGGAAGAATAGGTGGAGGTACTCTGGTAAGTGCTGGTTGTCCAGGTCTTGTCAATAAAGTAGGACCCAAATCAGCAGATCTAAAACAAACAAACAAAATTCAAAATCGTAACTTAAACACAAGAGGTTCAATTCAAATGAACTATTAAACACCTCTGATATCTAGTGTTATGAGATTCTACTGAAGATATGTTAAGAGTAAGGAATAGTCTCTAATATCCAGTTGCTTAGAATTTCAGTGTTAAGACAAAATGCATAAAATAAAATAGCCGAATAACTCTTATTTTCTTGTTTACTTATGCTACCATTATTTGTACTATCTTCAATCTGTACTTTCTTTTTAAGACTCTTGTCCATTTTCTCAGGGTTGGCTGTTAGATATTGTCCATACTTGTACCTAAATGACACTATCAAAATTACTACAGTTTTATAATAGTTTTTAATGTCCAATAGAACAAGTCCTCCCAATGTTCTTCATATTCAAGAGTGTCTTGGCTCACCCTGGCCGGTATGGTCAGTTGGTTGGAGTGTCATCCCATGCACTGAGGGTGGAGGGTTCAATCCCTGGTCGGGGTATGGGAGGCAACCAATCAAAGTTTCTCTCTCACATCTATGTTTCTTTCTCTCTGACCCTCTCCCTTCCTCTCTCTCTAGAAAAGTGGTTCTCAACTTTCCTAATGCCACGACTCTTTAATACAGTTCCTCATGTTGTGGTGACCCCCAATTTCATTGTTACAAATTGAACATAATTAAAGCATAGTGATTAATCACAAAAACAAGATGTAATTATATATGTGTTTTCTGATGGTCTTAGGCGACCTCTGTGAAAGGGTTGTTCGACTCCCAAAGGGGTCGCGACCCACAGGTTGAGAACTGCCGCTCTAGAATCAATGAAAAACATATCTTCTGGTGAGGATTAAAAAAAAATAAAAAAGTGCGTCTTGGCTATTTAATCCTTTTAATTTCCCTGTATACTTTAGAATCAGAACTTGAAGTTCTGTATTCCACTCTCTCCACCCAAAACCATACTGAGATTCTCTTTGGGATTACATTGAATCTGCAGGTTAATTTGAGGTCATCAATGTCTTTATAATATTGAGTTTCAACCCACTAATACAATATATGTTTCATTTATTTAGCTTTTTAAAAATATATTTTAAAATTGATTTCAGAGAGGAAGGAAGAGGGAGGGGAGAGTGAGCAAGAGAAGCATCAATGATGGGAATCATTGATTGGCTGCCTCCTGCAAGCCCCCTACTGGGGATCGAGCCCGCAACCTGGGCATGTGCCCTTGACTGGAATTGAAACCGGGAACCTTCAGTCCACAGGCCGATGCTCTATCTACTGAGCCAAACCAGCCAAGGCTTTTAAAGATTTTTCTCAAGTGTTTTTTAACACACTGTATGTGGGAAATGTATTTATACATTTAACATAGACTGGTAGTAGAGCGCGGGACATGTATTAATACGTTTTTTATAGACTAGCGGTAGAATGCGGTAACCTATAAATACGTTAATTTTTATAGTTTTTTATTGCTCTAAAGGGATGCTAACATGCAGATATACGAATTCCAAAGGACAAAATTTGGGTCTCTAAACATACAATGGTGAATTATGTATGTACTTCCAGGTATAACGGTAATCTATTCAACTGCGTAGAGTCATCCCTTCACACAATTCCAGTATTTGTCTGTTTAAAATTTAAGAAAAATAACTCAGTATACATTTTATAGTAAATCACAAAAAGTTTCATTGAAAAAAATATGTAAAATTAAAGTTATCATAATTTTACTGAACGCTGCCATTTGCGCAAAAAATTAGCAAAAATGGCCCGCACCACTTGTTAGCATGTGATAAAAACTACCCGCAAACAATGTGTTAAAAATAACTTTATGGACTCTCAGTAATGTTTTATAGCTTATTATACGGAGGTCTTCCTTTAGATTTATTCCTGTTTACTTTTTGGTACATGATGTCTTTCTAAAATTTCACTGTTACTGTTATGCAGAAATAATTGATTTAAAATATATGGTCCTTGTATCTAGCAACCTTGTTTTGGATTCTTCTCTTGGATTTTCTAGATTCTTAAGATTTGCAGTCATAGTGAATGTGAATATTGATAGGCTTATTACTTCTTTTTCAATACTTACAGCTTTAATTATTAAGGTTTTTCACCTAGGACATGCAGTATAATCTTGACTAGTGATAATAACAGGCATCCTTGTCTCATTCCTGATCTCAAAGTAAAGTTTTCAATAGGTCACCATTATGTATTGTTTGTTGTAGGTTTGTTGTAAATTTAGTAGTTTCTTTTCTATTTGTTTGTTAAAAGTTTTTACCACTAATAAACATTGAACTTTATTGAATAATTTCTCACCATCAAGATAATTATGATTTTCCTCCTTTATTCTCTTTTTTAAAAATATATTTTATTGATGTTTTACAGAGAGGAAGGGAGAGAGATAGAGAGTTAGAAACATCGATGAGAGAGAAACATCGATCAGCTGCCTCCTGCACATCTCCCACTGGGGATGTGCCTGCAACCCAGGTACATGCCCTTGACCGGAATCGAACCTGGGACCTTTCAGTCCGCAGGCTGACGCTCTATCCACTGAGCAAAACCGGTTTCGGCCCTCCTTTATTCTCTTAACTAGAGGCCTGGTGCATGGTATTCGTACACTGGTGGGAGGTATAGCCTGCGGGGATTGGCCTGCTGTGGGAGCTCTGCTCATCCAGGTCAGCCGAGCAGCTGTGGACCCACCTCTGAGCAGCTGCTCCCGCTGCAGAGAGCAGCTGTTCATCCTGGTCAGCCAACAGGCATTCTCACTGAGGAAGCACACTGACCACCAGGGGGCAGCTCCTGTGTTGAGCATCTGCCCCCCCCTAGTGGTCAGTAGGCATCTTAGCGACTGGTCGACCGGTCATTCTGGATGTTCCACCGTTTGATTGCTGGGCTTTTATTATATAGGACTAGAGGCCCGGTGCACAAAAAATGTGTGCACTTGGGGGAGTCCCTCACCCTGGCCTGTGCCCTCTCGCAGTTTGGGACCCCTCAGGGGATGTCCACCTGCTGGCTTAGGCCCGCTCCTTGGGGGAAACGGCCTAAGCTGGCAGTCAGACATCCCTCCGGCAGCCCAAGAGCCCTCGGGGGATGTCCACTTGCCAGCGGTGAGCAGGTCTAAGCTGCAGTTGGCCA